GCGTCGGGATGAGTGCTTGCAAGCCTTGCAACACTCCCGTCGACCTGCACTCCAAGTTGTCCGCTGACGGTCCTCAAGTTGCTGACTCTACTCAGTATCGCAGTTTGGCTGGTGCACTACAGTATCTGACTTTCACTCGTCCGGATATTGCCTATGTCGTCCAGCAGATATGTCTCTACATGCATGATCCACGCGAGCCGCACATTGCTACTCTCAAGCAGATACTAGAGTACTTTCAGGGTACTCTTTTCCTTGGCTTGACTCTGCATCGCTCTCCGCCTACAGAGCTTGTTGTTTACACTGATGCGGACTGGGCCGGCTCCCTCGACACTCGCCATTCGACCTCTGGCTACGCGGTGTTTCTCAATGACAATCTGGTGTCCTGGTCTTCCAAGCATCAGCACATAGTCTCCCGGTCTAGCGCAGAGGCCGAGTATCGAGCCGTGGCCAATGGTGTCGCTGAAGCTACATGACTTCATCAGTTACTTGCCGAGCTTCGCCACCATCTTCGTCGTGCCACCCTGGTTTATTGCCACAACGTCAGTGCTGTCTACCTCTCCACCAATCCGGTCCAGCATCAGCGCACGAAGCACGTTGAGATTGATCTCCACTTTGTTCGGGAGCGTGTCGCCCTCAGTCATGTTTGAGTTCTCCATGTCCCCACGACATCCTAGTACGCCGATATCTTCACCAAGGGTCTCCCAACATCTGTATTTCAAGAGTTTCGATCCAATCTTAACGTTCGCCGTGCTCCCGATAAGACTGCGGGGGAGTATTAGCATGATATAAATATAGCAATGGTCGCCCTGTACTTGTGCGCTTGTGTAGTTGGCTTGCATGCTACCCCGACTGCCTATATATGTACCCATACACAATATGGAATACAACAACTCATTCCAATCACTCTTTCAAAAACAGCTCCAGTGAGCGGTATTCCTAGGACTCCGCACATGAAGCAGTTGTGTGGGAGAGCGGTTGGCTGATATGGAGCTCCCAGAGCTGTTTCAGAAGCTATACCAAGCGCTTACTTAGTAGCAAGAGTCATGAACATTAGCTTACAAAGTTGGATGAGATAGGTTCCTTTGGCTCCTTAAAAATAGTGTCGAGTTCACAATAAATTTCATTTATAAACTCCTTGTGAATACATGCATTAAAGTCTCACATGATATTTGGCGTTTAAGTATACCACTGAAAATTACAAATTTTCTATGGTTCATCAAGAGGGGGTGATTTTAACTATACATAATTTATTAATTAAAGAGGAACTAGAATAGGAACAAATCTTGTGTGTCTTGTAGTAGGGATGAAACTATTCAACACCTCTTATTTGAGTGTCTGTATGCTCAGTTCCTGTGGCGAAGGATACATCTTGTTTTGGGTCTCAAATACCCTTTGAATGTGATGGATATCTTTCATGATTGGCACAAACAAACGGGTAGATCAAATAAGACATTGTTAGACATCATGGCTAGTGATATTTGAGTGGGTTTGATTAAATGTGTTGCTCAACATATGTAAAATTGGTCTCATTGTCTAGGTTAAAGGAGATGAAGTCAAATTAATTCACCTTTATCTAAAAAAGAATGGCTTTCAAGAACTTTCCCAAATTAACTATATATCCTAAGGTAAGTTTGTTGCATTCATGATAGGTGCATCTTCTGCTTTATGAGTGCCAAAATGTTTTAGATGCATTTAGTCATCAACTAATGTTCCACAGGAATTTTGTACGTTTTTCTAGAACCTATTACTATTTTTCCTATAGGAAAATCTAATTTTTTTGATGCTCCAAAATTCTTTTTCATGAGCTCTAAATACTTTACTTGGGTTTGTGATGTTCCAAAATGTGTCCAAGATTTTTTCCCTGAATTTTTGGAGGTTTGGAATAACTTTTTTTTTTGTCTTAAACACTACTGGGCTTTTATGAAAAAAATTTAACAAAAAATATTCTAAAAATAATAAAACCTAAATCTATTATAATTTAGCCGCCCAAACCTACATAACTAGTACATATTTCCAATCACTGTCGGTTCAAAAAGCCCATCAGTGTCGGTTTTTTGAACCGGCACAATCATATTGGCAGTGATGAGGGGCCTCATCAGTACCGGTTTTAGGGCCTCATCAGTACCGGTTTTAGAAGCGGCAGTGATTTGGTTTCCAGAAAACCTAAAAAAACGAATCGAAAAATAGCGGCAGTGATTTGGTTTCCAGAAAACCTAAAAAAACGAATCGAAAAATAGGCATTTTTTAATACTAGGAGGGACCCGACTGGATAGCCACAGTCACGCAATTTTTCGCACGAAAAACGAGAGCTTCGTGGCCACCGGCGCTCGAATCCCCAACCTTCTGCATCGTGTGTTCGTGCTCTAACTACTCCACATGTAAGACGCTTGTGTCCATATGGGATATTTGTTCTCCCCATGTTATGCCACTCTGGTTTGAGATGAATATTTAGAATCCTAAATGAATTTAAATAAAAAAATTGTCAACTACAAAGTTTATAACTTTTTGAGATCTATAACTTTGGTTTTGGTCATTTCTCCATCCGAGATCAATCGAAGAATTTGAATTTCAAATGTGAGAAAATTCAATCATAATTTTTTTGGATAGATGATTTCAAATGAAAAAGTTATCAACTACAAAGTTGCACAACTTTTGAATATCTACAACTTTTGTATTGGGCGTTTCTCCATCCGAGGTTGTTTAAAAAATTTGAATTTGAGTAAACAAACGTAATTTTCATTAGATAGATGATTTAAAATAAAAAAATTGTCAACTGCAAAGTTGTATAACTTTTCGAGATATACAACTTGATGTTTGGAATTAGTAAAACATAAAGGTTTAGAGCTTGCAGAAAGGTTCAGAGCCCATGAACTGTGAGTCAAACAAGCACAAAACTTAACCATGATTAGCCCAATTCCTTGAATAAAAATGTCAAAAGCACAAACTTGATGTTTGGTTCAACTTTCTCATGCTAACAGGTGGGATAGTGGCTGATGAGGAGAATTCATTTTGATCTAACCGACTGCAACTATGATTCTCAGTTTCCCACATGAACAACAATAAGTTTCTGTTAGATGCAATATTAATGACCTTTCTTGCTGATAGAAATAGAATGCCCATAAGCTAAAAAACTGAACTCTAATTTTAACAAAGCAGCATCTGATGAGAAATGGTTGGAGAACTTTGCTTTGGGAGCTTGATAACAGGTAAGTTATTTACAGAAAAATGTGGTTTTGTTATACCTAAGCTGAAAGTCGAAAGAGCAAGAAGCATTGAGCAGTTCAACATCAGTTTTAATTACAAACATCTCACGACTGCAAACTAAAAGGTGCACTTGCTTGAAGACGGTTAGATCAAATCTCCAGAAATCACACCACCCAATTCCCCTGCTCCCCATGCCCTCACTATGGACAAAAATTAGAGGTGCTACATAGCAGTTAGCTCATATGTTTCTCATTCGTTCCAGAAAAAAAAATGTTACTTTTGTATTGAAAACAAAATCAAATATTTGCCAGTAATCAAATATATATGTTACTTTTGTATTGAAAATAAAAAATTAGAGGTGCACTCTTTTTAACTAGATAGATGCTTTCATCCTACCAAGTACCAACTCATGAGGAAAGACTAAAAGAATGTCCTTTTAAGTAAGGAATCATAGAAACTACACTATAAACTCAGTAAAAAGAAGCTAACATGGAAATTTTCTATAAAGAAACTGAGCTAGTTAGGCACGAATCGTGAGTCTGGCCTTTGGATCTTTGCCAGGTAGCCACAAGTAGAGTTTCACAAACTAATAAACAATGAAAAAAGTGAGTCACACAGTATGATAATATTGTCTCACAGAAACACATGATGCAATTTTGTGAAGTGAGCTCCTTCCATTCTGGCATATGTTCTAGTCTGACAGTACTGAAAGAACGAGTAGGAGTTTCAGGTTCAGCCACATCAAGTCCAGAGTACAGAGACTAAAATTTTTCAGATCTTCACCACTTATTTGATCATAGTAGATATCAGATGAACTGAAAGAGATATACAAGCATAAGCTGAAACACTGCCTAGAATCTTCCCTTCAGCTATTGCAAGACTGAACACCAATCAAATTGGCAGATTCCTGACTGCAGGAAGACAAGCAAAACACCAACTACAGAATTCTCAAACAGACCATACTAACAGTAGATGAATGAATAGGACACATGTTTTTACAAGACCTAGACCCTACTGTAGTGTTATATCAGTAGCCGCAATACTCATTAGAGATTGACAAGCCAAACCATGTAACCTTAATCACAACAATTTATGCAGAGTTCATTTATGCAGCTAATAAAAGAACATACTAGTGTAATGCACCAGTTCATTCAGTAAAGGGATTCCAGCTCTCAGTTCAGCAGAAGTGTAAATGTGAGGGAGACGAGGTGGGGAGGCAACAAGGGACTAGCACCGCACCTGCAAGAAATCAGTCCCAAAATGGATGGGGGAGACATCAACAGATGGAAGAAGAGGGAAATCGAGGAAGGAAGGTGGGTTTACCGAGTGGGAACGGGCGGGGACACCGGAGGTGCTGCCGGAGCGGATGGCCAGGGACACCGGAATGGGGACCCTCGTAAGTCGTAACAGCTAGCCTTATGCTCTTGCTGTTCCTCCCCTTCGTTTTCTTCACTGCAGGTGTAGGGGACGGCTCCACCACGGAGGTCTCGTCTCGCTGCTCCGCTCCTCATCAGCGGCGGAGGGGCTGGCTCCAGCTCCGCATCCTCAGAGAGAGGATACCGGCGGCGGAGGGGATGTCTCGCTTTGAGTGAGGTGGTCCAAATGTGCACAAGGGATTGATAAATGATGTTATCCCCCCAGTATTTGGCAGAACTCCTCGAGCCAACATGTCATCAAACATGTGGAGCACATCAGCTACCCTGCGACCTTTCAGAAAGGCTTTAATCATCTTGGAGTATGTGTCGATATTTGGGGTGCAATTCTTTTCCAACATGTCCTTGTAATACTTGATACACCTGTCCAAATCCCCAACCGAAAGGAAATTTAAAATAAGTGCATCGTAGGCCATTGTAGTTGGACCATGTCTCTCATGTACCATATCCTCAGACACCCTGAGTGCATCCTCAATCCGCCCTGCTCTACCCAGTCCCTCAATTAGATGGCAGTGCGAAACCTCATCTGGAACCAGCCCATCCTCTTCCATCTTTGTCCAAACCTCCTGCAATTTATCACCACTCCCAAACCTCGCCCAGCCACCCATGGCATCATTGTACACATGTTTATCAAGACCAAGCAGCTCCTTTTGAGCAGCATGCAAGAGCGAGCTAGCTATACCTACACGTGACCTCCAGAAAAGGCACCTGATGAGGACGTACAGTAAGTGCCTCCTTTCTGTGGAAAGCTTTCCCAATTCCAAATCCAAATTGGTCGGTACTGAGCACCTCAACAGCCTTACTGACATGCCTGGCTGCAACTAGGCAGAGTTTGAACTGTGTGCCATACACCACCGTAGGTGGCAGTACCCATGCCCATCCTTGAGGCCATCCCACCTGTTATGCAGTAGCAGATATTTGGAATTAGTCAAACATAAAGGTTTAGAGCTTGCAGGAAAGGTTCAGAGCCCATGAACTGTGAGTCAAACAAGCACAAAACTGGGTTGTCACGTTTAAGCTTTTCGCCGGTTTTCTTTTTATAAACTGTGCGATGTGAGATTTTTAGGCCTGGTTTCCTTATAAACTGGGTCAATTCCATTTCTTCTTAATTGAAAGGCACAGCTCCTACGATTGTGCTAAAAAAAACAAGCCCAAAACTTAACCATGCTAACTTGATGTTCGGTAAATGTGAGGGAGACGATGTGGGGAGGCAACAAGGGACTATAGCACCTGCAAGAAATCAGTCCCGAGATGGATGGGGGAGACATCATCAGGTCGAAGAAGAGGGAACTCGAGGAAGGAAGGTGGGTTTACCGAGTGGGAACGGGCTGGGGCACCGGAGGTGCTGCCGGAGCGGATGGCCAGGGACACCGGAATGGGGACCCTCGTAAGTCGTAACAGCTAGCCTTATGCTCTTGCTGTTCCTCCCCCTTCGTTTTCTTCACTGCAGGTGTAGGGGACGGCTCCACCACAGAGGTCACGTCTCGCTGCTCCGCTCCTCACCGGCGGCGGATGGGCTGGCTCCGGCTCCTCATACCCAGAGAGAGGATACCGGCGGCGGAGGGGATGCCTTGCTTGCTTTGAGTGGGCCGGGCCGGAGGAGGAAGTTGGTTTCGTTTCCTGGGGAGCGGAGCCCGGTCGCTCCTTGGGCCGTTTTGGGCCTGGAAGGCCCAGCATTGTTATTCATTCTTTTCTTATTGTATTTCAGCATTGTCATATCTAGCTAGGATATATATAAACATGCCAAGCTGGTGTCAAAAAAAAAAACATGCCAAGCCATCCAAAGTTGCTCCTGCCATGCATATGCATGTAAAATAGATTGCCTTGCCCCCACACAAATTAAAGGCAGCCACCCTTGCCAATGACACTGACAATATACGTACACGGCCACCCAACCCAACAACTAGTATATATACATACTTTGATCCTGTGCATGCATGCATGGTACATACACTGATCCAAATTAGGACAGAGTGCTGGCTTGGGAAATACGTATTATACAAATATAACTCAAGGGGAAGTGTTGCCTTGTTCAACCATTGGTGTAGGCATATTATACAAATGCACTGTCATGCGAGATATATAGCGCAGCCAAAGTGAAGCCATAGATCTTTTGAGCCTTCTTCTTCTGGCGTCGAACCTGTTCCAACTCCACCGTGCGCTGCCTTCCAAAAGTAGTAAAACAGAAAAGATCGAGGTAAGAAATAAAATGCATGCATACGTCTGAAATTATGTGACGAGTGAATGGAATAAGGTAAAGAATACTCACTTGGCAACCTTTGTAATGTTTTCCAGCTCTACCAACAGATATTCCAGTTGAAGCACATATACAGCAGCTTCCTGTTGAATTCTCTTTATGTTGCTCAGCAGTTTAGCCTACACAGTTTAAGGAAGAATATATAATGAATTAGGTAAGACAAATAAGCTTGGCGGGCAGCATCAATAAAATAAAGCTATCATAACTACTGCTGTTATTTCGTACTAGTTAATATCTGTTATATATGAACCAAAAGCCACCTTGATGCCATGCTTTCCCTTAAAATTTAGCAATGACAGTAAGGGCAAGCCGACAAGGCATGTCATGCGGAGCACGAGCGCGTGCTCTACTGCTCTAATGTTTCTAAGGTTCCAGTAAGAATTGAGTTATTTTTGAGACCCCAGAGATAAATGAAGCACCACGACTTGTGTACATGGATATTATAACAGGTTGAAGACAAATTACAATTTCCAAAAACAAAACAAATTGGTTGAGCTATTTCTGCATGAAGATGAAGATAATGCGCTGACACAACTAGAAAAGCATGGCACACAAATGCAGAAAATGCAACCAGAGCTGAAGTTGCTTGCCCTGGTGTCTTCATCATCAATCATCAAACAAATATGGACGACTACCCTGAGACGGACACAAGCATGTCCAAGCTTTTTTACACACTAGGCATGTACATGCTGTAAGCAGTGGCAAATTCTATCTCCTCGATCTCTCTGACGACTGTATGTGCTCTGCCAAAAGATAGGCATCGCCGAAGTATGGCACAAAGAACAACACCAAATTCAGAAGTGAGAATTACTTAGACAGTAATTCTGTAGCCAGCATTGCCATCCATGGCACTCCCATCGACCGGAAGCGTCATCCCCGGCCCTTCTTGTATTCTTTCTTCCTCCATGATTTGAAACGGAATTTCTAATCATCAGTCGACTGATTATTTTATTCGTCGTCAGTCGGTTCTTTTTGTGTGCTACGCTTTGTCGTTGTGGGCCGGCTTCTCACCGTGGGCCTAATTATTTTTTCGAACTCCGCGCCTATGCCATCGTGACTGTTCTGCCGTCATTTCCTCGGTCAGCCTTTCTTCCTCTCGGAATATCCAGCCTACTCCTTCCCCTGTTCTTCTTCCAGAAGCGGGGGAGGCGCTGCTTGCCGGTAGCCGCTGGAGCCCTGGTATGTTGTAGCGCCTCTCCCTGCTCCGGCTCTGCGCCGCTCGCTCGCCTGAACCCCACGCCCGCCGTCCAGCCGGACCCAAACCCCTGTGCCGTGCTCGCTGTTGATTCATCGCCTTCCCAAACTGTCCGGTTGGAGAGCTCGTTCGTTGCTGTTGTCGCGGCGAAGGTACTCTTCCCTTACCCTAATCTGATGTTTTCATTTTCTATGTTTGTGTATTGGTCGATGTTGATTCATCGCCTTCCCCAAACTGTCCGGTTGGTAGAGCTCGTTCTCCTCCCCCAAACCATCCGATGGGAGAGCTCGTTCGTGCTACTGTTGTCGTGGCGCAGGTACTCTTCCCATTACCTGAATTCTATGTGCATGTCGTTTGCTACCGTTTCCTTCAAATTTTCAGTCATCTATCAATCGGTCACTTGATTCTGCATATATTTGGTGTTGATTCACCAGATTCTAAAGGTATTTCGACACTATCTCATGCCTTCTCTGTCCCTCATAATAATGCAAAAATATCTGATGCTCAGATCCCTAATTTGTGTATTGTGCCATATGTTAATTTGGATCTGTAGTGTTGTTAGTATCAAGGGTGGTTTGGATTTGCTGATCTGTTGTCTTTAGTATTTTGCTTTTTCAAAGGTCTATTTTTAGTATTATAGTTTCAAGTAAAGTAACTGAACCCATCGTGGTTCAAGTATTCAGGTAGTAAGTTTCAGTATATTTGTTCAGCAGCAGTTTGACATTGTTAATTTTATATTCAGTTAATGTTTAATTAACTCCTTCAACTGACGCATAGTTAATTTTATATATTCAGTTTTGCATGTTGCATGCATTAAATAATTTTTAGAGCTCTTGAAAATTCAGATTTCTTCTGTAACTGGGATGTCTGGCGCTATGGCTGATATCTTTGAGTGAATCAGTTTGCTTAGATTTAATTAGCTAGTTCCCGTGTGTCTACGTGTGTGTGTGTGTGTGTGTGTGTGTGTGTGTGTGTGTGTGTGTGTGTGTGTGTGTGTGTGTGTGTGTCTGGCTATCAGCAATCTATCACCTCAGTCCAGCCTGTTTGAGAGGGACCAGACCAGATGCTTGTAATAAGAGGCGTGTCATCCGCACCTGTCTTGTTTTGTGCGATTTGATGGCTATGCTCATGGGATTGTATCTGCATATGCCGGCTGTATTGGTGAACTATTAACCAAGCTACAATAATCTATGATTTAAGTTTTGTGGTGTGAGATTGAGTTATATACTTGACACAGGTTTCATTATGTGTATGGCTAGTGGCTGTTTCGGTTGTTTGGGAAGTATGGTTAGTGTGTACCTTGAATGTACCTAGTAATACTCAGGTGTGCAAGTTTAGGCTAGTTTCATCTAATGTAAGCCACGCAAGGCGTGCAACGTGCTTTTTCTGTTGTAGTGGTGATGGTGCAGAAGTTTTCTTCACTTGGTTCCAGTAAAGCGCAGTTCGTTACACCGGACTATGATCTGTTTCATCGGGTACAGTTCAATTTACAAGTTGGCTTAGGCTTTCGTTTGCAGCTATGGTTCATCTTCAGTGCGTGGATTTTTGTTCTGAAAATTGTTTCAGTTTTCAGGATTTTAGCAGATAGTTTAGTTTATATTCAGAGTTTTCATTTTTTTTGAATTTTGTTTAGTTAGTTCAGTTTGTCAGTGCAGTTTTCAGTTTGAATTTTGTTTCAGTTTTCAGTTTGTTTAGTTAGTTCAGTTTGTCCAGTAAAGCAGATAGTTAGTTAGATTAGTTAGACACTGCCCAGCTGCATGTTCTATTCATTTTCTAGGAGAAGGGGCTGCAGCTCACTTCTGTTTTCGTTCTGAGGTTAGCAGCACACAAATCTTGTGGTATGTGCATGTCCTTTTCATTATCTAGAGAAGCAATTTCAGCTTATCTAATCATGTTTATTCCTTCAAGTATCAGTTGATCAGTTAGTGTAATCCTGTGCTTCACGTGTAGCATGGCTGACCTGCAACTGTTCGCATGGGGCTTGAGCCACATGCCGTCAGGTTTTCATGCAAGCATCTGGAGGAATATCCATGAAAGAACTATACAATAACAACAACAACAACAAAGCCTTTAAGTCCCAAACAAGTTGGGGTAGGCTAGAGTTGAAACCCAGCATAAGCAATCAAGGTTCAGGCACGTGAATAGCTGTCTTCCAAGCATTCCTATCTAAGGAATATCCATGAAAGAACTATGATTTTGCCTTTTTTTTATTCCAAAAAACTTCCGTTTCTTGCTGCAATGTCAGGTGCAATTTGGATTGATTGGAAACTAAAGCTCAGACATGTTGTTTGTAGGAACTTGCAAATGAGCTGTACAGGAAGTCTTTAGACTTGTCAATGAAGGTAGGTTCTTTCCTCCTTTCTCTTCTGCATTATTTTCCATGTCCTGAATCCTGAATGATGGTCAACTATGGAGCATCCATGCTACAGAGGCTAAATTAAGCTTATTTTCTTATTAATAGTGGTTTTGAGATTCAAATAATCAGGAGTATTGTTTCAGCTTGTCGGTATTAGTTTTTATATTTTGTTACAACTTGCAATGCTAAAAAGAGATTTGGACACCTTGTAGCCATCAATCTTTTTACAGTATGTTCAATCATGCTGTTATAGGTGGTTAGCGATAATGCATGTGTATATCATTCTAGTGACATTTGCTTCCGATTATCTCAGGCACCTGAACTGCATTCGGAGATCCAGAGGATGGGGGCCACTGCTTCTTGACCAAGTGAAAATTTGTCAAGAGCTGTTGGCAGCTGATCGATGGATTTGGAAGACATTCCAACACAACTGCTGCTTCGTTTCTCTGGAATACTCGCTTCATCCGTAGTAATACAGCACATCTTGACCACAGCTTCCTTGGGCGTGGTAGGATGAATGAAAGAAACAAAGTAAGTAAATGCTGGTGAAGAACAAGCCAATAGTGTCAATGACATGGACACTCAGCTAGCTTCATTCAAAGACCAAGCAACAACACCCCTGCTTGCAGAATTGAAGAACAAGCCAAAGTGCATGCTCCTGGCATGCACAGGATCGGATCTCCCGAAGACAGGTCTTCCCTGGAGAATGAGATCAAAACCTGGGAGCTAGCTTGTTGGTGTTTTTGTGATCAGGGGTTGTTCAGGAGGCAAATCCAGAGAGGTTGTTCAGCTCACTACTTTTATACGTTGTAACTTCTGATCAGTTGAATGACACATTTTAGTTGGCTTCGGTTTTTTCAGAAATTGTCTTTCGCCGATCAGAAAAATCATTTGTATTTTTCAGTTTTTTGTTGTTGTTCGTACTGATTGGTTCCATGTGCACGTGTACTGTTTTGAGTGGTTGAACAAAAATGGCTGAAACACAAACAGTAATCAGTCGAATCTTGAGTAGTCACTTTTGGTTCCATGTGCACGTGTCCTGTTCTGACTGGTTGGAAAAAATCGGCTGTAACACAAACAGAAATCAGTCGATTGATGCGTAGTCACTTCCCATGATGAAAATAAACTTTCTTCAACGTGTCGTTTATGTGGACCCGTTTCCTTTATAATGGTGACCTAATAGGCCTGTTTCTTTTTTTTATTTTTCTGCCCTTCAAATCAACTTTTATTTTCTTTAATTATTCATTTTTTTTGTTTCTAATGCAAGAAAAAAAATTCCACCTAAAACTATAATAGTTTCACGTGATGATAGAACATTTTTCTTGTAAACCGAATTTTTTTCGTTTTACAGAAAGAAACTAGAACATTTTCTCATAAATAAGAAAAATTGATCCATAGACATGGAACATTTTCTTTCTTCTAGTTGATAGAGGGTCTATTTGGTTTAGCATTTACTGGAAAAGCTATTGTCAGCTATGAAAAAGGCATTGTGGGCTTATAATTTGTGATGTTTTGGTCAAACTTGAGACTAATGCTGATGCTGATTTGTTGTGAGAGAGAAACAATGTTTCATGGTTGAAAAGTAATGCTGATAAGTTCAAGCGAATAGGGCATTGGCATCGAGGACGTACACATCATGCAGGTGCCCAGTCATTCATTTGGAATTTTAGGGAAGTGATGATAGCAGTTCAGCAGAAAAACGCTCAAGCAACATAGAGGTAAAAAAAAATGCAGTTTCTGCTTCACGGCGTGCTTTGCTGACATAGGATGACATAGGACACGAAACAGATAGAGATCTCCCAAACTCCCAAGCCGTATATATAGCAAAGCGAACGAACACTAACAATTAGCTCTCATCTCTCATACTCATACCCTAGCGGTTCAAACAGGATCACAGAAACAAGTAATACGTACAATTCCTGCGCCACAACCACGGATCAAGTGCTCACAGCTCACAGATCAAGTCAGCCCGTAAATGACCCTTATCTTTCTTGCGGCTTCGTACGATGAATCCAGTGGCAGTGAAAGCGGCAGCGGAAACTGAAAGAATAACATAGCTAGACCACTCCAGGGTCTTGTAAAACCTTGAGGCCCACCTGAGGTTTTCCCTAACAAATACATGCATGGATAAATCATATATCAGATACTTTTGCGTTAAGCCAATCAAAATAGAGTCTAGTGCCTCGATCTGCCTCATAACTTCATCTTCCATCTTGTATCTTTTCACAATATCATCTCGGATACGTTCCACATCAATTGTCCTCCGAATGGCAATGCCATTCTGTTAAATGTATAAGCCATTGTCGTTGTTATTAATAATAATACATGTAAAAAGAAGAAAAAAGTAAAAGAATAGTGGAGCAAGGTTCAACCATGACGAGAATTCAACCTGGTAGACATACTCACAAAAGGCCCCATGTATGTTACCTTTATACTATATATGCAAACCATATTCCATATACACATATACATTAAGGTACCTGCATTGCATTATTTGCTCTACTATAATACATGGTGAACGCAGCAACACATTACAAACAACAACACAGCTAAACAAAGGCTTAGCAACAATTCTAATTAATTAGCCCACCTAAAAACATGCATATTATAATAGGCCCAAGAGACAAGTCACTGTTTAGGATAGCCGTGTTCTTCATAGTCCGGTTATTGAGGTTGAATGTGGGTTTGCAACCCAAACCGCATGATTAACACACAAACCGAGCGGGATGGGTTGGTTTCTAGGCGGTTTCAGAGCGATTTCAAGCATTCACTGGATTGGGCAGTCAGGTGGTCCGGCAGGTTTCACACAAGGCCATCGCCCATAGCCAGAGAACCTGTCATTGCCGCGTGCCCGCTCCTCTGTCAAGCCTCGTAGATGAAGAACCGATGGACTGTCTAAGTCTGCAAGTCTGAAACTCATCAGTCTTCAGACTTGTCAGGAGGACAAGAACTATGTAAATAGAGAGTATCATAAACGGAAAAGCAATGGTTCTACAACCAAGATACTGAAGAAGAAAATGAAATAACCATGAAACTCTTGTTCCCTCCATTCCAGCTTGGGATTATAAATCCCCGGTTCAGAATTTCAGCAACAGTTAATGTAAACCTTCAGCGTTAAATTAATGCGAGTGCAATTATAAACCTTCACCGTTAAACTATTTCAAAAGATCACAGACATTCATTCAATTGACTTCCCCTCAGAGTTCAGGGCTTTACTACTCATGTCTTCAGACTTTCAGAGTTTCATCAGCCTATTCGGGAGGCCGTATCGTATCGTAGATTATTTACTGCTGGCTGATTTGGTGTAAGAGAAAAACACTGTTTCCGGCTGGAAATTTACTATCGTTTACGAGCAAGCGAACAGGCTGCATGCTCGCGAGACTTGATGGTTATTCCCCCTCCTCCATCTATGAGGCCTGACTGCCATTATGGTTTGGTCGCCACAGCCGTGGCTGTGGGCTGTGGCCCCGGGCCTGGTGGTTAATGTTAGTGCCCTGAGCAATGGCAAGGATACCGAGGCTGAGGATTGCACGCTACACCGACCCTGCTGTCCACCGACAGGGGAGCGAAGGTGGCAGTATATGGAACGACAAGTTATGGCTCATCGTCAGCGCTGTTGGACTGGCGACTAGGGACACCGCCTCGCTGAAGCTTCTGTGATGGCTCTGCGCCTCTGCCGGCATCTACCGCCGCACCCTACAGCTTGTACTAGCCTGGTTTACCAGTTTCCTCAGGTTGAACATGCTACCCGGTCAAACTATATATGAACTACAAATATGGTTCTCTCTGGGCTGAACCCGGGTTGGCTGCCGGTTTTGCCCAAACCATAAACAGGGCTAGTTTGGGAGGAGATGATGGAATATATACTGGCCTCTAGGGGTTCTCCTTACAGGTGCCAACAGAGAGATTTTTCAAGTTAAGCAGCAAGAGGTTGGGCAGTTCTATCAAAGTTTTGCCATAACACAATTGGATAATCATTTTGAGTGGGAAATAGTAAATGTATATGGACTGGCACAGGATGACAGGAAGATGGAGTTTATCTCGGAGCTACAAACCAAAATCACAAACACACAGGGACCTATTCTGTTAGGAGGAGATTTTAACTTGGTTAGAAGAGTGGCTAAGAAATCATTTGGAAATGTCGAGGTGAGATTTATCTACGCTTTTAATAACATGATTGACACCACATAGTTGAGAGAGCTCGAAAGATCAGGAAGCAGATACACATGGACTGATAATCAGATTCCCCCAACCATGTATGTCGTAGATAGGGTGCTGGTTAATAATTCCTGGGATGACAAGTTTAATTTGGCTCATGTGCATACCAACCCGAGGCTGGGACCAGACCATAACCCCCTAATTGTGGATACTGGAGGAGCCTTGGTACATCAACATTACTATTTCAGGTTTAAAATGCTGGCTACCTAGAGCAAGGAGGTTTTGTAGAGTGGGTAAAAGGAAGATGGCCAGAGCGGTTCAAGCAACGACCACTTGACCATTGGCATCTGGTCTCTAGAAAGCTAAGGAGGACAATCAAAGGCTGGGGCTCCAATCAAGAGAGCCAGAATCATGCACAGAAATCTTTTTGGAAGGTCGAAATTGAACGATTGGACTTGACGAGTGAAAAAAGAGATTTAATAACAAACCAAGAATGACAAACTCTATCAGTTAGACAGAGTAAACCGAACATTCCCAAACCTTTTACTAACTCACAAAGTTACATGAATCATGTTTTACTAACCACCTTTCGCATCAAGCATTATCAGCAGTTGTGTACGGAGTATGCGCTTATTGTTTTAGGGGAGATTAATGCTTAATAAAAATTACATACATACTCTTATTTATTGAAGGTGATGAGCACTAACTAAGGAATAAAAACTTCTAATTAAAAGGAATGGATGGAGCCATGAAGGCCCAATCTTAAGCTAATATGGTCCCAATCTAGTGTCCCCTTCTTAAAATTTCATTTGGTAGCAGGGATGAAGTGCACCCCTGCTGATCGTCAGTGCCACCATAGTGATCCGAGACTGGAGTCCTTGGCCCCTCGAACACTTAAGAGCATAACGTCTCCCCCTTCAACACCTCCCAACCAACACCCCCCAATCCCCAAGCTACTAGCAGGAAAAAAATCGAAATAATAATAATAAAGTCACGCAACAAAATTAGATAAAGAGGAGCGGGCGAAAAATAAATTAAATATATCTAAGATCTCTCAGTATTACAATTTGATTCAGGCAATGAAGCAAAGCACGAAAGATGCCTCCATGCATTCCTTCTAATTCGCATCTTATTCCTTAATTAGGATGGGTCAAATCTGTCCTAAGAGAAATCCTAAAACATACTCTCTCTCTCTTTTTGTGTGTTTGTTTGTGTGTGTGGGGGGGGCTTCAATTTCAGTATGGCAGAAGGCGGGCATATTATCAATCATCAACTGGAGTACAAGACATACATGTTGACCGCGGGTGGTACCGAGAAACCGAGAGAGCACCGGCGGTGGAACACCGGGACCCGGGTGCCGGCGGAGAGCATAAGCTACAGTAGGGCCCCACATCCTCGTCGTCAGGCTGTGAAGCGCCATACCAATATGTGGATTCGATACCTAGATTCTCTAGACTACGCGGCGGCTAGGGTTCGGGGAAGAAGAGGGAGGGGCGGCGTCGGCCGAGCGGATGGGGATTTTTTTTCTTTTCTTTTATTAATGATGATGATGATGCCTCAATACTTAACTTGTGTACAAAGCGGAGGGGGGATTTGGAATAGAAATAGAAAAAGCGTTTTGGAAATAGGAAAACGTGGGTGCCGTTGGGTTTGGACGACGCTTCCGGTCCGCTTACGGTTAGGGCTGTACACTGGGCGGTGCAAGTGCAACTAGGGCGATCACGCCATGGGGCCGGGCCCCCAAATATTAGGAGCCTAATTAATCATGAAACCTAATTAATTAATTAACCTAATAACTGTTCAAACGTTTAGCAATCAGCTCATCACATACGTTATTTTCAACTAGAGTAATATGGTGCGCTCTTGGCCCTGTTCGGCTGGCTTGAAAAACGGCTGATGCTGATTTATTCTGAGAGAAAAAACACTGTTATTTTGCTAAAACGGTACGACTGATAAGTTCAAGAGAACAGGACATTGCCTAGTGGTTCCATAAATGCTTGAGCGTGTTATTGTGGTTCTTATTATTAAAAATTGCATGATGTTATATAACAGAATCCGAATATAATTTTTTCTTCTTTTTTTGAAAACGTATAAGGGTCTCATTCAATTTCACTTCAGGGCCACAAAATCCTAGATACGGGCCATGTACAAAGTAGAGAATTGTGTTCGATGGTCTACGGCTCACATGACAGTGGCTTGAGGGTAGGCTTATAAGCCATGTACAGAGTAGAGAAGAGCAGAGGAGTATCTGGTGTTTCATACCACCGATTAGTAAATTTGTGGATGTGCACTTTGTTCACATGACTTTAGAACTCAGGGACCCAAGATTATATATTGGTTTGGGCAAAATCCCTATGTTCCAACTAGTGGGTGGTGGATTGTGTTCCTGATCCTATATAAGGGATCTAAAGTGCTCATCATTGCCGGTTTCATCATCATTGGTGAAAGTTGTGGTGATTAGTAAATTCATTACTGCATGTGAAAATCGAACAAAAAACTAAAAAATACATGGTTTTGCGCCCAATGGTTTGCTTTATTGCACCCAAATTTTATTTATTATTGATAACAATAATTAGAGCATAAATTCACTGATTCATTGTGGGGTAAAGATTAAGTCATTTAACATTGGTTCGACAATGACATTATGAATCTCTTGTTGATTATATCAAAAGGTTTAGAGACACAAAAAAACGATGTTATAATATTCATATTTTTGAAAGCGATCCTATTGAATTAGATCTTAATGGATTATGATCTCATATATTGAAGAAAAATTAGAGTGCTGCTAATTCATAAATATTAACCAAGTTCAGAAAAGAGCTTGGGCTCAGGAAAGCCAAAGTAAAGATTTAAAGCTAAAGCCTGATTATCCTGGTATGCATAAGGTTACTTGTGATTCCGAGTGTTTGGACGATGAATGCAAAAATGTTTATGTTGTTGAGTTTGTGGGGTTTCCTAAAAATCAACCATATGCTTGAATACCTTAAAGCCGATTCATAAAATCGCCAGAATGAGATGAAATTTACTTTTTATACATCCAAGTGCGACAGGATCTTTGAAGAGTTATTAAACAATGGGAAAATCAAGTTGTCTCATACTATACCACCGCTTGATAAGTTAAAGCAGTGTGCCTATTGTAAATGGCATAACTCATATTCCCGTGCAACCAATTATTGTAATGTTTTCTATGTAGGCAAATATAATTGGCCACTAATGAAGCACAATCGCTTATTATGGGAATGTAGATTGCTAATGATCCTTCCCCGATCCATGCCCTTGAATTGCAGAATCCAAAAGTATTATTTTGGCCAAATCAACTAAAGGCAAAAATGTGATCATTAGAGAAGAAAGGCCTAAACTTTAGAACAAAGACAAGCAAAAGCTATTGGAGAATAGCTTCAATGGTACACAAAAGACTTTGACGCAAAATGCAGGGTCTGTGGAGACCATCTTAGCTGTTTTTTCTAGGAAACTAGAAAGAGCTCCAAATTCAAAAACAAGGCGAGGCTGAGATTTGAGGAGCTTTTGGATAAATACAAGAATAAATGAGCTATTTAGAAGTGGGAAAATTGACCAAGGAAGGAGGAGTTGAAGCCATTGACAAGACAACAAGAACAACTAGGTCATCAATCACAAGGTAATCGATTACTGTGTCAATTACTCTATGGACTTGGTTATATCCTTGCAATTACTCACCTTGGGAATACAATATATGCAGTCATATTTGATTCAATATTCTATGCATACTCAAACAATAATTCATCACCACAAACTGAATGTTGTTAGTAATCTAGTCAAGGGTACATCCTCTGATGATAAAGAAACTAAGGACAATAAGAAAAGTTTCTACATCTCCATAGCCAAGGAGGTGTCCCTCACGCATATCTCACACACAAAAGAGAAGACTGCATTGAATGTGCAAAGAAAGACCAATATGGAGCAACAAGTATAGGTTATGCTAGCGAAACCTTAGTATAAGCCAACATATACAAATAAGGTATGGAAGCCAAAACAGGTTGCTTATACATCTACTTGAGTTTGATCAAGAGTTACGACCAATAACATGATTATCACCATTAGAATAAAATATGACCGATGAGTTAATCAACGTCCTTAGAATTCCTAGTATAAAAGAAAGTTTTTTAGTATGCAATCCGTACTGGAAAAAACAAGGGCCGCATGTTGACACTCATAATTGGCCAAACGAAGCAAATCTGGGCAAAATTAGGGAAACTGACTTACTGGCTTTCGAACTTTGTGAAATTGTAAATTAGACTTCACCATTGTGTTCTTCTTGTCAAGGTGATCGAAATGCATATATAGAAGGCCAAATTTGGTGTCCGGATGAGGAAATTATGATTCCAGGAAGATCCAGCAAATTTTGGTAGCCCAGATTTGAGTTTGAGTTGTATTTTGACATGATCTGTATGGCATCTCAATCCGCTGTGGAATAAGTCGACCTCACCGTACAAATATAAAACATCACGGTCAATTGAGAGTACAAAAACACAATCAATCTACTATTTTATCTTAATCTGCTATTCCCTCAAAGCTTCTCGACGATATTTGTGGACATCTAGGTAGCCTTGCCGATCTAAAAGACTATAACAACTCTAGGTATGCCTTCCCCAAGGAGATCCTTCCTAGGAGGCGTTCGCAGGTTTTTATCATGGCAGATCTGCCGAAATAGAAACCAGCTAACCGGTTTTTCCTGAGTGGATGCAATTCGATCCTCGAGTGGTGAGAGCGATCCTGTGCCATTTGGATATGGTAGCCCGTTGGCTGTGGGACCAGATTTCCATTAATACTCTTGATCGTTATTTGTGGGTGTGACTGTGACCTGGCTGAATTCACCCCCCTGTTGTCTCTTTTTTCTATCATCTAATAAAACATTCAGCAAAATCTGCTACTGTCCTTTCTAAAAAAAAATTAGTGCAACTAGATCCATGGTTCAAAGGAAACAATAGTTAGTGATGAGAAATCAAGAAGAACCTAAAAGAAACAGCACAAAACAAACAAATTAAGTGCAGCGCCACCATAGTGGCCCTGCACGCATCGGTTACTCTCCCTCGACCATCCACAAGCATTACGGTGAGTAGGTGACCAACATTATTTCCTGTCGTCGTTGTTGATTACCTGTTCATTGTCTCCATCCAACTGCGAAAGCAAGAAAACAGCAATTAATTAATAAAGTACCCCTACAATGGAATTTTGTGAAACAGAGACAAACTAGCTAGCACTACTCTATTGGGATGTGTTTGAGTGATGAGTGATGGACTAATAACGACTAATGAGCAGATAGAGTGGCAGTACCTCCTGTTGCTGGGACTGTTGGGATGTGTTTCAAATGCCTGCCTAAACGCCTCGTCTCCCTCGGCGTGCGCTTCGGTCTAATCAAAGTGGTGGAAAAAAACACTCACTTCCTGAAGCAAATTGAGGTTCCCCAATGCACTGAAATTGAAACCGATGTTGGCATCCTTCAGTGCCTCAACATCGATTTCAAAGTGAACATATTCTGGGCATAGCTCCCAGCATAAATATGGGCGGCACCTCCGTGTTGAAGCACCTCAGCTTGGGGAATAATAATGCACCACCATTGATGACGACTGGGGAGAAATGATCAGATGGCCTCCGAAGCACGAGTGTGAGGAGCTCTGGGAGCCTCCCAAGGATCTGCAGGTCCTGTGCCTCCAGATCCTTCATGTGTATGTGTAGGTGGGAGAGGTTAGACAGAGCAGACGAGTTAACCCATACTGGCAGTCTGGAGAACCATGCATGTCCCTATATGCAAACGATGGAGTTGTCGAGATGGCAGGTAGCCTTCCCACGAGGCATTATTCTCTAAGTTCCAGGACCTAGAGTTTCTTCAGATTCAGTAGGGACTCCAACAAAGCATCGTTCCAGCTCTCATCACCAATCCTTACCCAGTGTGTGAGCAACCTTAACTCTGTCAGTTTCCCCAATCTTTCAGAAAGTTAAGGGAAAGGCTTGTATATGACAACCATAGCTCTTCCAGGGATGTCAAGCTCCCCATGCTATCAGGCAATCTCATGGAAGGATTATCACTGACAAGGCACTTGAGTTGTTCCAGCAGGCCAATACTCTCTGGCAGCTCTTTTATCCGAGTTCCCCTCAAGTACAGTGTCTGCAAAAACTTGAGATCCCCTACTTCCTTGGGTAGATCACTAACAGGTGTGTTCCGTAGTCCTAGGTACCTCAGCTGAAGTAACATTCCAAGATGTCCAAGATGACCAGGGCGATCTTCCATAAAAGTACAATCTTCTAGAGCTAGGACACGCAAAGGCCGAAAACTTGTAAATGATGTCAACATATCGATGTTACACATGATGGAATTGAACGACCTTAGTTTTCGCATCCCGCTTGTCCTACACAAAGTTTCATCCTTCCCTATGAGGCTCTTCTTCTGCAACGCCACTCTGCGGACATTGCTGTGTGAAAATAATATGTGGTGCTCACTATTATTATCCAATATAGTAACAAAATTTTCTTCGTTAGACAACTGGCATATCATATCAAGCACCATATCATGTACATGACAACCAATTATGACTCCTTGATTGGGGTTTCTATCGGTTGAATCATGTTTCTATTTATGAGCTCATTGAAGAATCTCTCTCCGAGCTCAAATAACCTTATCCTTGATTGCTCGTGGACAAAACCTTCAGCTACCCATTTCCAAATCAAAGTATCTTTCCTGATCACCGTGGGGCCGAAAATCGGGCTCGGCGCGCTCGCTGCTGCTTATGGCGCGTCGGACAAGACAGGAAGTCGCCCAGTCCTCAAATCAGTCGTCGTGGGGCCGGAGCTCCGGTTCGGCGCAACATTCTTCTGATCGGCGCGTCGGACAAGACAGGAAGCATGTCTGGTAAGCACGTCAAGTTCGCCTCCCCCCTCTGCAACCACCCTGTGAGATGTTACTACTCCAACGGCGCTGCGTCCACGAAATCTTGCCTCAGATCCGCTGCAGTGAAGCATGCCTCTGGCGCTCAATCCGCCGAGCATTCAACTCCCCCCTCCAGGCTGCGGCGCCCGGCTTTGATGGGGATTTTCCTTCCCGAGGGGGTGGCTCAGGGCTGTCACCGGGCGAGCCAAAGAGAGCCGATGAAGCGCATTCACGCGCACACCTCGCGTCGAAGATGATGGCGGATGGTCCATGGTGCGCCCGAGGCGCGCCAGGCGCCTCTCCACGAGTTCAAAGGCACGTTGCATTCAACTCCCTCAACCACCCAGGTCAAATCAGCGCTTTACCACCATAGGGATGAACTGCAGAGGCGCATGAGAGGTAAATGTTTCAGATGTCTCTCCCCTGGCCACGCTGCGGCGGACTGCAGGGACCCGGTGCGGTGCTTCTCTTGTGGCCGCTGGGGGCATAAAAGCAATGTGTGCAAAGGCAGACCTTCATCCTCCCGGCAACAAGCTCCCCTGCCCAAGACCGCTCCTCCACCATTCGACGACAGCAACTTCCCACCTCTAGGAACGAATGCGATGGCCAGGCCCGGGGACCCCTCTGTCCATCCTCTGGACACCTGTGACGTGGCCTTCTCCATCGACGACATGGACCATGAGCTCGACCGCCTCTCCATGCATGGCATGGTGGCCTGGCTGGGGGGGGGGAACTGGCCAGTGGTGGAGCCAGAGGTCATCAAGAGGGCCATCTGCCACCATTTTCCGGTTTGCCCAGAGGATGTCACCGTCGTCAGGCACGCCCCCGAAGACTTCTTCATCGACTTCAAGCACCGACACTATCGTGACGAGGCTGTGGCGCAGGGGACCTTCCCCTATCGCAATCTCGACATCCACACAAGGCCATGGCAGCTGGTCACGCACGGCGACATCTACGACCTCAAGTACCGCGTTCGCCTGTGCCTAGAGGGCATCCCACTTCACGCCTGGAACGAGAGCATCGCTAAGAGGGCAGCCGCCAGAGCTTGCGACCTGGACTACGTCGAGAAGTCTTCGCTAGACCGTGCGGACACCAGGGCACTCTATGTCTGGGCTTGGACGCACAACCCGTCCGACATTCCAAAGGTAACCTGGCTGACCTTGTCGTGCAGGAAAGCTGAGTTTCACAGTTCACAACCTGCTCGTGGCCACCGAGGACTCACCTTCAGGGTGCTGGTGCACCTTGACCTAGTGGAGGACCCACCGAGCAGAGATGGACGTGCTGCTGGTCCCCGTGTATACACGTGGGACTACGGTGTCGTTGATGGGGAGAGGACGCCGCGTGACCGCCACGACCCTCCGCCTGCTGACATCCATGGCGGCCGTCGCGACGACGACGACGACTGTCGTGGGCGCTGTGAACGTCAGGGCGACAACTGGTACTCGCGTCTCACCCGCAGCCTTTCGCGTGCACCCAAGGACCGGGAGTGGGAGCGTTCGTTATCGAGGCATGGTGGCCGTCGACACTGGAGCCCTGAGCACGGAGGTCGTCGACGCCCACTGGACAACGTCGCTGCTAGCCATGACGCCCGCCTCTCTGCACCAAGCAACGCTGCGGGTGACAACAGGAGGACTCGACAGCAGCTCGCCAAGCCCGCTGACCCCGGCCACCTGGTGGACGTCCATTGCCAAACCCAGGGTCGGAGCAGGGAACGGATGCCCCACCGCAGGCCACACAGACATGCGCGTTCAGAGCCGAGGACCACAACGGCGCGCTCAAAGTCCCCGTCACCACGCCTATGCTGCAAGTTGCCTGACTTCAGTGGTGGCAACGGCGGCAACCATCACCCATCACCAAGTCCTCCCAAGGTGCGTGCTAATCAAGGTCAATTCGATGATCTGGCAATGACTCCATCGCCCTTAGCCTCTCCAACCTGGAAGTCGGACGCCCAACCTGATGCCGCAGCACTGAGCAACTCTTCTTTAGAGCCGCTGACGGACACTGTACCTCTCTCATGTCTGACTGAACTGTAGGTTTGAAAACTCTAGTTTGGTTTTGGTGAATTGATGAAACCCTAAGTGCTAACCTAGTTTATCAAGTGATCATGATTTAGGTAGCACACTCTAAGTGGTGAAACAAATGAAGATCATAACATGATGATGGTAATGCCATGGTGATGATCAAGTGCTCGGACTTGGAAAGAAGAAAGAGAAAAAACAAAAGGTTCAAGGCAAAGGTATAAATTGTAGGAGCCATTTTGTTTTGGTGATCAAGACACTTAGTGAGTGTGATCACATTTAGGATCGATAGCCGTACTATTAAGAGAGGTGAAACTCGTATCGGAATGCGGTTATCAAAGTGCCACTAGATGCTCTAACTCATTGCATATGCATTTAGGATCTAGTGGAGTGCTAACACCCTTGAAAATGTTTGTGAAAATATGCTAACACATGTGCACAAGGTGATACACTTGGTGGTTGGCACATTTGATCAAGGGTGGTGAAGTTTAGGTGCAAGGGTAAGAAACTCCACCGGCGCCCTAGACAGAAAAGACGGAGGTCACTGGAAGTGACCGGACGCTGGCCTCGGTTGGACCGACGCGTCCGGTCAGGTGTAACAGCGAAGACGCTGGCGTCGGTCAAATGACCGGACGCTGGGTCGCTCAACGACTGGACGCTGAGAGGGTGCGTCCGGTCAGTGCAGACGTACGCTGACGTAGGGCACACAGAGGAGACACTGTGTGACTGGACGTTGGCTGTGTCCGGTCAAGCATGACCGGACGCGTCCGGTCGGCAAAATCACATTTTGGACCCTTACTGTAAACGACCGGACACTGAGGGTCCAGCGTCCGGTCAGCTCTGTCGGAGCGTCCGGTCAACATTTTGACTGTTGAGATCAAACGATCACAGTTGAACGCAGAAGACACGTGGCCGCCATCGGGCGACTGGACGCTGAGGAGCAGCGTCCGGTCAGTAGGACCAGAGCGTCCAGTCACCCCGATCAGTACCCAGTGAAGGAGTACAACGGCTCTATTTCGTGGGGGCTTCTATTTAAGCCCCATGGCTGGGTCAAGCTCACTCTCTTGGCCATTTTTATTGACATAGCAACCTTGTGAGCTTAGCCAAAGCTCTCCCACTCATCTCCATCATTGATTCATCATCTTTGTGAGATTGGGAGTGATCCAAGTGCATTGCTTGAGTGTTTGCATCTAGAGGCACTTGGTGTTCGTGTTTCGCTGCGGGTTTCGCTCGTTACTCTTGGTGGTTGTCACCACCTAGATGGCTTGGAGCAGCGAGGATCGTCGAGCGGAGGGTGGTGATTGTCTCTGGCTCTGATCGTAGTGATTGTGAGGGGTTCTTGACCTTTCCCCGGCGGAGCGCCAAAAGGTACTCTAGTGGATTGCTCATGGCTTGTGTGATCCTCACCTTGTGTTGGTTGTGCAGCACCCTATTGAGGGTTTGGCGTGTGAAGCCAATTAGCGCGTGAACCTCCAAGTGAGTGAATCACCACAACGAGGACTAGCTTGCCGGCAAGCAAGTGAACCTCGGTAAAAAATCATTGTGTTCATCATTGATTCCGAGGTGATTGGTCTTCATTGTTATCCACACTTGTGATTGATTGGTTCATACATCTACACGGCGGTATAACCTTCTTGCCTACTCATTACGTTACCGCAAACTAGTTATCAAGCTCTTTAGTGTAACTAGTTGTGAGAGCTTGTTATCTTGGTTAGTGTGGCTCTTTAGTTAGCTTTTGAGAGCACACTAACTTAGTGTAGTGATATAGCTATTGTGTGGAT